GGCTCGGCTGAGCCGCTCGGCCACGATCGGGAGCTGTACGGGCTATTGTGAATAGCCTGGGGCCGAAGCTAGCCGAAGGATCGGCCGAAGCTACGGCCAGATCCTTCGGCAGCTTCGTGAATAGACCCCTAAGTCTCTCTACCCCCAGACCTGGCATATCTTGTGTGGCTATAAAACCTGCTCTTGTTAGTGGGATACTAAGGGGTCTATTCACGAAGCTGCCGAGGGCAGATGAGTGAATGACCGATCTGAAGTGAAATACTTCCCGAATACTGACCAGCTCGGGTTCATGCGCACTCTGGTTCAGGTCCTATTGGAATTCGCAGGCGGCACCCTGATACTCGGGGGGGACTTCAATTTTGCCATAGATCCTCTAGTGGATGCATCTAGGGGCACTTCCCACTTAGCCTATTCATATCTAAAGAAATTGAAGTCGGAATTGCATCTCCTGCACTTGGCGGATACATGGAGGTTTATGCACCCGAGGGACAGGGACTACACCTTTTTTTCACAAGTCCACCAGACATATTCAAGATTGGACTATTTTTTTGTGGAACACAAGGTTCTGCCTCAAATCTGCACAGCTACAATAGACAACATTCTTCTTTCCGACCACGCCCCAATACATCTATCCCTGACACTGACAGCACCAGTCTCCTCGTCCTACATGTGGCGTCTTAACGAATCGTTGTTACAGGACATACAAGTCACAACTGAATTGGAGGCTGAACTCTCAGCCTTCTTCTCCCGTAACGTTCCCTCCTCGCCCTCACCTCTAGTCACATGGGAAGCGCACAAATGTGTCCTTAGGGGCATTCTCGTGAAACATGGGGCGCGTAGGAAACGTGAGGGAGCGAAACACTTGGCCCAGCTATTTAGTCGTCTCCATTCGTTGGAATCCGCTCACAAGCGCTCTCTGGCCTTGGCGGCTCAGGTAGAGCTTCGTGCGCTCAGAGAGGAAATAAATGACTTACTGTTCACTAAGGTCAAAAGACGTATGTTAAATGGTCGGAGAACGTTCTATGAATTCTCTAACAAACCCGGGAAGCTGCTAGCGCGGGCTTTGAGGGGTGCTCGGGGTAGAACATTTATCTCCCAAATTGTGACGCGAGCTGGGCAGACAGTGACTTCATCCGCAGAGATGGCGGAGGAATTTAGAGTCTTCTATGCAGATCTCTACAACCTACACCACTCGGGGACAGCGCGGGATCATATCGGTCCCACCCCTGAGGCCCGGTCTGACATCGGTAACTCTGGTATGCCTGTACTGAGCCACAAGGAGCGGGACGCGCTGGAATCCCCTATTTCAATGCCCGAACTGGAACTGGCTATTAAAACCACTAAAAATTGGGACATTACTATTGGCTATTTCAATTTGCAATAGCCAATAGTAAACTAGCATTGTACCCGCCCTCTGCTGATGGACCTGATGGGGAACTGCAGCAGAGGGCGGGTACAATGCTAATTTACTATTGGCTATTGCAATTTGAAATAGCCAATAGTAATGTCCCAATGCTTTTCAATGGGAAAATGTCTTTTTTTTTCTATTCTGACATCGATCGTGTTAGAATAAAGAAAAAAAAGGACACAGCGTTCTTTCTCTCCTTGGCGGCTGGGAGCAGGAGACTCCCGGGGCGCCAGGGAGAGTTAGCTGTTTGGAGATCAGTGTCCCTGGTTAGCAGACCAGCTTCGGCTTCAGCACGGCTCAGCCGAGCCGATGCATATGAGTTCGGCTCGGCTGAGCCGCTCGACCATGATCGGGAGCTATACATTACAGTTTATTTTTTTAATAACTATGAAATACATAGGGAAAGGGAATCAACAATTAATACAAAATGCTTACATGTTTGAATTTCTACCGTAACAGCTGGACTGTCTCTAAATAGCTCTTTTTCTGTAGACACAGTGAACGCATAAACTGTTCCAGGTATCAATGATGCAAATATGGCCCTTTCTTTTGTGACTTTTTGAACCTGAAATTAGAAAACAATACAGCTACGGTAATTCAAAGATTGCATAATATATGGTGAATAAATATATTGAATAAAGATCAATTAAAAATGTAAAACACCAAATTTATTTTGACATTTGCTTTTAAAATAAGTTTAGTAAATTACCATAATAACATGAGAGGAAGTGGAATTCCATCCCCTAATTTTGGTTGCCATGTAGAAACTAACATTTGTATTGCAGGTGTCCAACACAGCTATCTCTAGTGGAATTTCATGTCAGGGTTTACATGCCAATTGGAAAAATGTGAGCAGTCAGGTTTTGCAGCTGACCAACCCAGGTAAAAAAAAAACCTGAATATAGTGCTGGGTGACAATAGTGAAACTGTGACATTTATAAAGAATGTATTAGATACTCATTAGACAGATGTCTCACAGTAGCATAGTTCCCAAATCTCCCTCATTTGGACACCAAACCAAATCCCCCTGTCCCTCATTTTTCTTCTGTTGTCGCTCTTTTTGGTCTGATGTATAGACCTTTATTAATAATGTGCAATTTACGTTTTAACACTTCTAGAGCTCATTTCTGAAGCTTATTGCAGGACAAATACAGGCTTATTTTCATGCAGTTTAAAATACGCCTGTATTTGGGGCACCCAGGAGGCATAGCTGCTGAGGTTTTCTGTGAGAACCCTGAACTCGGGTGTACGTGTTTGCATGTGCACAGGAGTAAGTTTCCGGACGCAAAACGTCTGCTTCTTGGATTTAAACAGTTATTTTTTGCATATTGATTCTCCATAGTTCACTTAACTGGGAGCATTGCGGGATGCATGTCCCTTTCCTACATACTTTTCACTAAAAGGTGTGCAGTAGTACAACAAATAACACAACCTGCAACAGATTTATGTATGTGTCAGTAAGGAGTAACTACATCTGGCACAAATCTGATATGTGTCACTCAGTTTACACTGAAATGGAAGAGGTGTTACTTACATTAATTTTCTTTATCAATGATATGGCATTATTTATCTGTGAATTTGTTGCAACATTAGCAACAGATAGCAAAAGTGTTACAGATAAGTATTGAATTTGTCACACACCTTGGTACTAACAATGTGTCACAAATGTGTCTAGGCTGCCTATTACAGCAATGGGGCATGGGAGATGGAAGGGTTGGCCAAGTCAAGCCTGCAAAATCTAGCCTACAAACCTACAACATGTAGTTGATCTCTGCATACTGTAATAGAGCTCCTTCAATTTTTTGGGATTCTGCATCTAAAGGTAACACAATAAAGTGCAATACAATGTTCAGTGCAATGTTATTACAGGTACACCTAAATTCCTCAAACTGATTTCTTGCTCCTCCATGTTCTGTTCACTGTGTTATCGAGTTTCTATGTTATAACCTTTTGATGTCTAAGGGTATTAAGTGACCAGAACATTTTTTTATAGGCCCTTAGATTGCATTTGTAATAAATGATCATTATCTGTTTTTTCAGATGTAACACCCCTTCATAGGGCAATTGTTTTGGATTATATTTTTACATGAAGAAAGGTCTTATGGCAATGAGGTAGGACTCTAGTAGGTTTTTTTCTATTGAAGGTAATAGAACTATTAACAGCTCAATTTCATATGGTCCTATTGGTAATGTATAGGAGTAATCAGGTAACCATTGTTTTTCTACCCAGTTAGCATATGCATCCTGAATTAGAATTCCACCTTCACCTACACTGCAAATGTTGTAGTCACAAGGACCTTAAAGCTTGTGGTTTGAGGAATTTATGATCAGTTCATTCTTGAATCTTTTTATATTTGAAGCCAATTATGGTAATGGAATTATTGATACATAGGTCTGACACTATATTCTTTTAGGGATGCACAGACACCAGTTCAGATACTTGGCATTTTTACCAGAGCTACCAGGGTTGCAGCTGCGACTGGGCTCTGGGCTTCCCCCACAAAGGGGGAGGCCCAGAGCCCAGCCCCTGCCTCTTTGTCAAGCTAGAATACGTGGTGAGCTCACAAAGTATTCTAGCTTGACAAAGAGGCAGGTGCCTCAAAACGCGTAGCTATCTGAACGCACAGAGCACTACCTTCACAGGCGTGAGCTCACCACGTATTCTAGCTTGACAGAGGCATGGGCCTCGAAACGCATAGCCATCTGAACACACAGAGCACTACCTTCACAGACGGCTCTGAGCATTCAGCTGACTCCACAACACCGCGGCACCTTAGTACCCACTTGCGGTCTCCCGTGCAGCCCGATCCACTAACATCCACTCAGCGTACACCTCACACTTCTGTTGCGGCTCAGCCTGGCCAGCTGAGTCCACACAGCCCCAGCACTTGACCATTCTTGCCAGCCTAAGTCCATCCAGGCACGTACCCATCCACCCCACTTTCACCTCACCCTGTACCCTGGCTAATTTACGTTTTATACACACGTTTTAAGACCTCTTCCTGAGACACAGTGACATCTCAAACGTGAGTTTACCTATACAGTAGGGGGCAAACACTTTTTCACACAGGGCCATGTGGGTTTGGATTTTGTTTTCCCTTAATAATAAAAACCTTCCTTTAAAAACTGCATGTTGTGTTTACTTGTGTTATCTTTGACTAATATTTAAATTTGTTTGATGATCGGAAACAATAAAGTGTGACAAACATGCAAAACAATGAAAAATCAGGAAGGGGCCAACACTTTTTCACACAACTGTATATGTATATAAAACAAATCATACATTAAAACAGGGATGCACACATCCAAGGAGTCCCGTAGCCAATGCTCCTTAAAAATGACAGCTGCCTGCTAAGTTTTTCTCTAGTCTAGTCTTGGAGGTGGAAATGTATCAGTACTTGTGCTTTTACCAAGTATGGTACTTGGTAACTGTGCATCCCTACTTTTAATTCCTATATTAGTATTATTATTGACTTATATTCTACTTGCTTTTAAACCTGGAATTATTACCATTTCCACTTACCATGAATGTCTCTGAGCAGTTTGTGCAAATAATTTCATATTGCTGAAAACCCCCTTCTGCTCTGTCCCAAATTACTTGAATAGAGGTATCTGTGACTTCACCTTCATGTACATTAGATGGACTCGCCAAACCTACATTAAATTAAATCAACAATTAAACTGGAAAGATCATAAAAAAGTATTTTTTATTTTATCTTGCACATGATTCAATTATCAGGTCAGGTCAGGAGAGTGTTACCTCATATACCAAGCTAAGGGAAAATTCCAGTTCAAAGTGAGCTGCCCACTTGCTTTCAGTAAATCAACACAATAGTATTATATATATTGTATTTATATAATATATGTGTTTAAACATTACTTATTTTGTGTTGAGCACCCAATATCCTCTGGACTGACATTATTCTCTCAATTGGAATTTTACCCATATCTCTGAAATGACAACAAATACACCTATAGAAATGTTTAGTAATGGCAATCTACAAACACGCACTTTTGATAATTGAATGCTTTTTATTCTTTGTACACCTTATTTTTCATTTCCTCTCCATTCTTCTCACAGTGGATATTTTTACTATGGTCAGATTACTACATCTCCCTTTACTTCCTGGAACTCTGGCACATGTGACTACGACATGTGACCATGCCCATCATCTCAGGGGAGGAAAATGCCTGTCCCTGAGATCTTGCGAGATTACAGATATCCCAGCAATGCTCTGCTGATGTAACCTTCCCAGAATGCATCTCTTAGGCATGAGCTACATCATTAATGCCTATGAGGGCCAGGAAGTGGAAAAAACTGTAATTTTAAGTAAAAGAAAAATATGTTTGTTTAACTAATGAATGTAAGATGTTTTTATATAAGCATAGAGAGCTGCATGCTGATGTGATTTGTAACGAAAAGGTCCACTTTAAAGATGGTCTGTTTTGCCCATGACAACCAGAGGTGTTATCACACATTTCCTTACCTGTAGAAGTGACAATCTGTTGTGAATTTGATATATGAGATTAGGAGTAGGGATGTTCAGAAACCAAGTACCGTACTCAATACAAACAAAAGTACAGATACTTTTCCAGCTCCAAGACTAGACTAGAGAACAAATTCAGAATTTAGGAGGCAGCTGTCATTTGTAAGGAGCACACGGAGCTCGTGGGATTTAAATTTCAGAACCCTGGTGGAGCGCCAGGGCCCGATCCCTGCTGCAATCGCTGCAACCCTGGTAGTTCTCGTGAAAATGCCAAGTATCAGCACTGGTATCTGAACTGATATCGGAACATCCCTAAATAGGAGTAAATGGTGACCAGAACTAGATGGATATGTGGAGAAAAGTGTAAACATAGCAAAATATGAAACTTGTTTTAAAATAAACAGTTACATTGTTGCAGCCCATCAAATATCAAGAGATTTTTGTATCCATAATTTTGAGAGGAAGGAGCTGAAATTCGCTAGTTGTACTTACATGTTTTGACAGAAGACATTTTGTATGGAGTACTTAGCATATTCTTGCTTTTAGTATGTACTTGGAACTTATATTGCGTGCCTGGAGTGAGCTGATCAATTGCAAAAGTACCATGAGTCAGAGGTGGAAAAGACATATTTCTCTTGGGGTCATTGGTGTTTATTATAAATATGCCATCAAACACACCCACAGCTTGCACCTGGACAAACAAAACCACTGCATGTGTACTCTGTTCATATGGGACCACGAGAGTAACTGGTTTAGGCCCTGTAAGAAAAGGTTAGCACTGTATAAAAAACACATATTAAAAAAATATAGTGATTAAAGAAAATCAATCTCTGTTTAGATTTTGTAATTTCTGGTGCAGAAAACATCTATATATTTATCAGGTGTATTAAAGCCCAAATTAAGTCTGACACCTTTTGTATTTTTATAGTCCTGTACCAAGTGGCTTGGAAATATCTAAAAATACCCTTTTCTTTTATTAGAAATGCACTTGCTGCCCTCAATCCTCATTGCTCTATGCCGACATAGATGAATAATGGGCACACGCCTTACCACAAGTATCTTTACATAGGCTTATAGTCTTCAGGGAAGAGAGGGGTGAGGGGTGTGTCTGATCCGATCAGGGCTGTTAGGTCAGACTTTTAATCTGTTCAGTCATATTTACTCACCTTACACAATGGGAAGTGGGGGTAAATTTATGAAGATGGGGGGCTATTAGTGAAAATGTCTAACTGAATATCTATTTATGTGACTTAATTTGGGCTTTAATAACATTATCTAATCCACATGAGGAATTGGAGAATAAAATGTACTTTCCTCCTTCTGACTAAATTAGGCTTTTCTGACTATTACCTAATCATCACATCATGTGGTACCTTAGCAAAAAAAAGTACATACGTAAGGTTTGCTGAATGGTGATCTTTTCACTCTTATTTCCATTAATCACTGCAGAGAGTCCTATTTCATAGGTCATGCCAGGCACTAATGATCCAATAACAAAGCTGTTGTTATCATGCGCAAAATAAGAACTGGGTTCAGAAATATCCAGAACAGGTTTAACCTCAATGTAGACTAAACGAGTTTCTTGTGGAGATTCCCAGTGGATGACCACTGATTCTTCTTGTACTTCATCTGGTTTAATTAAAACTCTTTGGGGTGGACTAATCCCTAAAAGACCAATAGTAGATAGAATGTGTGTTTTTAATTGCCAGCAAGACAAGATAATATTATTATACGAGTTACATATATATGTAGAGAATTGCTCTTTCCCACATTCATGGTACATGAAAGAGTTGTTTCAGAATAACAACAATACAGACACAATGGATACCAAAGTGGGGATCAAAACGAGGAGAGTAAAGGGTGCCACATCCCCTTAGACGATCACTCAAAAAAGATATGGGATATAAGATGTAGGATATATACACTCCATATAAGGTTGATTAATACGATTCTAGTTTATTCACAGAAAGTTATCTTGGATCCTTAATTATGAGCAATCTTTACAGGATGAAGCTATCCATGTATTCCTTTGTATAGTGGTAAGGAAGCTACTCAATATATATATATGGTGAGTAACTTCCTTACCACTATACAAAGGAATACAAGGATAGCTTCATCCTGTGAAGATTGCTCATATTTAATTTTTACTACAATAGATTGATCTAATGCTTTGGGGGCAGCCAGGTGGAATGTTTCTACATCTGCCCACCAGGCCAGCAATGGGTGATGTTTTAAGTGGATGGCTCCAGACCTATGTGTATATTCACAATTTTTGAAGTAAGATGACATTCGGTACAACTACGCAGTGCAGGCGAGTGGAAATTCCTTTCAGGCTTGCAGTCTCAGACCGCGTACCTGACTCGTGGGAGCAGCTGCTCCTGCTGGTCTGTCTCCTTTCCTTATGGCCGGTGCTCTTCACTGAGCTCCGGGTCGAAAACAAAGTGATTAGTAAGGTCTGCAGACCTTACTAAGTTTGGGATTCATTATTGAGGTTTTCTGGTCACTGGGAGACATGTTTTAGTGAAATGTTACATTTAAAGGGAAAAGCATCTGAAATGAATATTTCAATACTAGGAGATTCCTAGATCATACAACAGAGTACAGGTCCCTAAAGAGCTCTGGAGGCATTATACTCCTTAGGATCACCCTGTTTTCACAATACCAAGGATAATGTTGGTGAAGGCAAGTTAATCTGACCTAATTCTGAAGATAGCTGTGTTCTTAATGGTGGGAGACTGGGACTGACACACAGAAACATGAGTATGAGAAAATAAAGTTCAAAGTATAGTGAAATACTGAGTTATCATTGCAAATTACTTTAAAATACATTCTGATATGACTTTCACATTTTACACACTTGCTCTCTATATTCTTGTTATTGTATTCGATAAAGGCAGAGTACATTAGAAATGGAAAGAACTCACTGTAACTGTTTAATAACTGGGATTTAGCTGCAAAGGGAGTTGTTTTCAATGAGTCAGCTGACTCAAAGACATTCACATTGAGAAGGAGCAATAAAGCACATTCATTGTGTTGCACCGTAAAGCAGGAAGCAGAGCCTGAGTATGTAATGAGCAAATATGGGTGTTACCACGTATATACAATTACAAACTAACCAAATGTTCAAACACGAATACATGTTGATGATCTTTTTTACATGTATAGCTAAAAAACAAAACAAAAGGACTATGAATTTCAGGCTGATGCCCTAGTGACAACAGTTTTTGGATGGATTTAGCATTTAAGGAAAATAACGTTTAAAAAAAGTAAGGTTGTAACTTTCTTTCTAATGCGCTTCTAACAGATTATTTCCACAGTATAATTCAATATGGAAAGTGTACCTGTCACTAGTGACACAATTTTTTCCACTGAACTCAGTACCCCACTTTCTCCTACAGTTTGTATGAAAATCTTGTACTTGTTATATGGTCTTAAGTTTGTAATGGTAGTTGAAGTTCTGTTCTTTGCTTCCATTAAAGTTGAAAGTATGTTTTCTTTGACATCAACGACTGTAAGCTTATATCCGCACAAACGCGATGAGTCAAATGAGTTTGCCGGTGGATTCCATTTTAAACTTAAGCTCGATGAAGATATTTTTGTGGCTGTCAGATTTTTAGGATACAAAGGCCCTGGCAGAAGACAGCAACGGAAAATGATAAGCAAAATGCTACAAAACAGCTCTTAATGTTATGTATATATGAAACATTCCAAAACTATATTTTCTTCTCCAAATGTATTTGCCATGATTCATGATGTACAGGTATGAAGTTATGTATTTATAAATTATCAGCAATAATTCTATCACAAGGTATCATCTTATCTTAACACCCAAACGCCAAGCCTCAGTTACCAAGTTTATAGCAGTATTTCATAGACAAAATAGGATGTGCGATAAAATATAATCTCTCAATTCACGTATGTTATGTTTAAATAATTAACAACGTCTGTCTAGGTATTTAAGATGTATGAATCTCTGAACACTGAACACTGAATCTCTGTGTTAAGACCAAATTGGATAAAACATTTTTCAGGTTTAAATTCTAAAAGTCACATGGAAATGGGAAATATTTTTTACAGCAACATAGGCTGTAAAATATTTTTTACAGCAACAAAGGTTGCAATAAAGCCATACGCAAGCCCAAACTTTCTTTTTTTTACAGGATTATTCACAAAAGGGTGAAGAGTTTGGAGAAGGTAGGATAAGTGAACAATCCAGGACAACATAGCTGAACTGGAAAGTGAGCTGAATTGGAGAATTTTTCTGAATCAGCTATTTTGGCCTAAATTGTTCACTTCTCCTGCCTTCTCCAAACTCTTCACCCTTTTGTGAATAACCCTGTCAGTATTGGATAGAGTGATGAAGGGATAGAACCTTTGCCAGGTTTGTATGAGTGGGAGATTTTCACTCACTTCAGGAATTTCTTTAGCGGAGACAATGAAATTCCCATTAAAATTCCCACTGGCACCATGGTGGGATACTATTCCCCTCACTGATACCAATGATGGGGTACTATTTCTCCCACTGATACCAAGTATGGGGCACTATTTCTCCCACTGGCACTAATAATTGGGCACTGTTCCTCTCAATGACCATAAGGATGGGGCATTATTCTTCCTCTCATTGACCATGACAGATGTTGTTACTTATTCACTAGATAATTTTTTAATACCACTGACCACCAACCCTGGGGTATGTTTTACTCTCACTCACCACTGAGCCAGTGAAATTGTTTACACTGATCACTGGCAATGGTGCATTTTTTTTCTCCCACTGGCTGCAGATTGGCCACTCTAAAGTGTGAAGGAAAGTGAACTGGCCCTTTGTTTAGAAAGTTTAACAACCCCTGGCTGACATGTTTACCGTATATATGTGTCTCCCTGACTGTAACCCTTGACAAACAATTCCCTCATTTTTTGTTATTGTGTATTCTTGTACATGAAGTGAGGTAATATGATTTCAGCTGCAGTTGGCCTTGAACCAATTCAATAGAAAATGGCTTTGGTATGATCCTTAGCACTCCCCTGACTAGTTTTGAAAGAGCTCTGATACAAGTCAAATTTTAGGCATCCCCTGCAATAAAAAAATCTATTTTTTTGTGACAATGGTGGGCTACTCCCTAAGGGTTAATTACTTCTAAAGTGATGCCAACACTGCACCTTTCCTCATTAAAAGGTGCAGCTGATTATAATGAACCCAGACGCTCCCATTCAGCAATCAATTTGGAAAGGAAATGCCACAACACACAGGTAGGAATCTGCGACAAAGTTTGCTAAAATCCTTGCAATGTACACTGATCACCCAGACAGGATTGCTTTGTTTTCAACAAAAGTGCAAGTACTCTGTAATGCTGACAATGAAACCCTTGTGTCACTCCTGCTTGGGTAAACATCTAATGCAGAGAAAGCTGTAATTACTTTTTCAAAGGTGCTGGATAGAGATACAGTATGTGGGTGTACAATGCCTTATTCCAACAAGGCTCTAGTGTAGAAAGAAAACTGCCACTAGAACCTGTCATTGCTGATCTCTATCTAGAAATGGCCTGTGCCTGGCTGCCTTGCTGACCCACTGGCTTCAATAATTTCTTAGCCGCTGACTTGTAACCAGACTAAGTTTCATAGGAATTCAAGTTGGTGACAGAAAAACCAGTAGCATTTTAGAAGGAGATTAGCTAATACGTCCCTTTTTCTCTTAACTTATTTAAAACCACTATTAACAAAAACTAGTCATTAAGGCAGAAAATATATGAAAAAAAACGAAATATATCTAGGGGAATTTATCAAAATCGTAGCAGACAAATCTGGAGCAGTAGTGCATGGCAAGCATGACTGGTTACTATTGGCAACTGCTCCAGATTCTGTCTGCTCCAGTTTGATAAATTCCCTCCATTTTATTTCATTTGGGTGCAGTTTTATATTAAACTAGTTAGTGGTACTTGAGGATTGGATTCACAGATATTGTAAATTTAACCAATTATAAGCCTAAGATTAAAATATTTAGTAATTAATTAATGATTAATTAATTCATTATTAATATAATAATATTAAAATATTAAGTTTAAAATAAACGTGTTTATTTCAAGTATCTAATCCTGTTTTACATGCATTCTGTTCTATGTGAAGTGCAAGACCACCAAAAATAAATATGTTGGGGACATCTCAGCACTTGCCCTCTATGGAAACCTGAATATTGACTTCCCAGACAGCATAGAGAGGCTCCTGCATTGGAAGGTGAGTATTTTGACTCTGATAGTATGGAGAGGGCCTGGAGGATGCATATCTATTTTTTGGGGGCAATCTTACACTTATCCTTTCATTTTGTTAAGCTGACTATGGAAGGGAGCACAAGTTTGTAGGAAACTGATTCCTTTAGTGAGAAAAGGCCCCTCTTTTTGGCTGTATCAAGTCAACATGTCATCAGATCAAGATAATATGCATACAGTTTTCCTGCCAGTGAAAGCTAGTGAACTATTAATACATATGTGCAAATCTATGCCTGACCACATTGCAGAGCTGGTGGCATTCATCCAGAGTCCATCTTGTACTGGTCAGAGTACATGGGATTGCAAACGGCACCAATCAATCAAAAATAGAAATACTTAACATTCATAAATAAACAAAGACCATCAAAATGTAGACAGTGACGTCCACGGCGCATTGTTGTTTAACCATAAAATGAATAAATAACTAAAGAAAGAAAGAAATATCCAACCAATTAATAAACATTACGATATATTGCTAAGCCATATGGCTCAAGCAATCACCAATGTAAACAACAATAGATTTAAAGTCCCCCAACTGGAAATGGGTGACTAAACCACACAAAGTCCAGCAACATAAATATAAAGGGCAGGAGGGTGGAAAGCTTGCTGAATGCAATTAGATGGTAAGGAGAAACTGTTGTGCAGATTAATCCTTATATATAATCTAAACATCAATGAGAAGAAAACTGTGCAAGGAAAATAAAGGCTGTGTCAAAAGAGACCCCACACACCAGGTAAATAAAAGTGGGGGGGGGAGCAAAGCAACAGTACTAAACATTACCTTAAAGGGGCTGCTGCAATACTAAAGGGTTCAATATAATATTACCTCCTTCCTTTGTTTGTTCATATGAGTTACTATGGGTTCTAGGAATTATCACTTTAGAATACCAACTCTTTCTTAAATAAAGCTACCAGACATCTTCAGTTTAGGCATTCAACTTTTTGGCATTGCATAATATATATAATATATACTTACTTGTCTGTACTGGAATAACTGGACTCAAATTATATTGTGATCCTTTGCTGTCCCTCATGCATAGAATAACATGATATATTTGTGCTGGGCTCAACCTCTTTAAAGATATGTATGTAGAATTAGGGTTCACTCTTTCAAGATCGTCATATTTGTTGTCGAAATAATATTTGATGAAAGGGTAATAGCCTTTGTGAGAAAAGTCGGGTAAATTATCCAAATGAAATAATACTTGACTTTCTGTAACAGCTTCTGAAAAATATGTAAAGTTTTCTGGAACTTCTGGAACTGCAAGAGTAAAGGAAAATGGTTTAAAGAAAAGGGAAGTGAACAATCATTTTAAGTTAGATTTATCTGAGTTTTCCTCACCACAGTAGGTACCAAGGTTTTTTATGTGTAGATTATGGTTACCACAATACATAGCACCTCTCTGGTGAAAATCCCTTCCTTGATACTTACATATTTCACATACCTATATCTTCCAAAAACAAAGTAAGAGAAAATCACATAACCATTAATAATGAATCAATATGTTATCTCATTGTATTTCTATTTTCCTTGTTATAAATATATATATATATTTAAAAAAATAATAATGAATCAATATAATGAAGTGATACAATTACCTAATCAATGCAAAAGCGAAAGGAAAATCTGTTATATACTGGGAGACAAACTGTGTAGTGATAACCCAGTGATTGTAATTAAATGTATGCTGCTGGTTTATATTTATTAGCTCAGTTGGCAAGCAGGGTTTAACTGTTTGTTTATATTTTAGATTAAGTCGTTTTAAACACTCAAACCTTTTTTTCAATATTGAATCAAGATCAAACAAATATACATTGCCCAGCAAAATATTTCTTTACATTTTTGCCCAAGTATGTATAGCCATCATGTTTCTGAACAGGTGGCTCCAACTCTCCCAGCTTGGCTTCCCTGAACTTCTCGCCCAGTACAAGATTACAAGGGACAGCACAGTCTCCAGCAACTGTCTATCTACTAGCCTGGAGAAGGGAAGAGAAAGAAGGTTGAATGGTGGATCGGGGAACAGGGGACTGGCTTGCTTTGCTGTGTCTATGTGTTTGTAGATACACACAAAGCTTACTAGCACACACAAGGGTGGCTCCATAGCACCCTGCAAGGGAAAGGAGCCACCCTAAAACAGGATATCAGGGCCAATGCTCAAGGAAATCTTCCCATAACATTATATGCGCATTTAACATATTTTTGGGTAGTTATTTACCTGTAAATCCCTCCATTGTGTTAACTGTATTTAAATAATCAAATTTGTTGGATGCAAAGTAGCAGAGTAATATATAATTGTTGATGCAAACCCATAATTTATGTTTTACTTTCATATCAATGTATACATAGCACAAACTATAATTGATGTTGGTGTTTTGGATGTATTTAAAAACATCCAAAAGCCCTGAGAGGGCTCCTGGGCGCTGCTACCTTGGATGTGATGTCAGCAGTCAAGTGGCACTCTATAGTATTACCCTTTGCTCATATCAGGAGAAGAGGAACAAAGAAGATGGGCCAGCACAGAGAGCAATTAGACACTCCCAGAAGAGTAGATGGCTATAACATGCAAGGAGGGAGGAGGCTATGCTAGGGAATTGACTGTTCCTGAAGTATTTAAATTTGCTAGCAAGTTCAGTGGCAGTCAATAAAAATGCTAAAAAGTAGGCAGGATTATTATTTAATAAGGGCCATTTTCCTGAAGGAAGCTTTTGGTGACTCCCACATTTTACAGCTTTTAAAAGCTTGATAAACAGTAAATACAAAACAAAAATACTGGCAAAAATAATTTACTCACACTCATATTCACAAAGGTATGGCAACTCCATTCGGCAAAAAAACGCTGTGTAAAAATAATTTGGACCAGTTGCGTTTTGTTGCAAAGCGTAACAATCTGTCTCATTCTCAGGTAAGTTTGACAACAGTGGAACTTCAGATGTGTCTAAATCATAGGAAGATCCATCTGTCCATACTAATTCTCCTTCAGCCTATAAAAGATGTTAAATAGAGATAAACTGCACTAGGAATCAATTAACACTCTAAGAGCAGCAGTGCTTAGTAGGTGAAGAAAGATAGCACTGCGCTTTAACAAACTCAAAATATATTCCTAAAATGTGAAACAATTGTAATAAATGTGAAATTATCACGAAGTGATGAAACAATTATGCGTTATCCACAACACTGTGTTTCACAATACCTGTGCTAATATTTCAGAAACCTTTGGTCTAATGGTATAGACATTATAAACCATAATAAATCAATGTTGAGAAGAAATGTGAATAACAAAAAGCATATACTTGCGCTAGTATTTCTCATAGTATATCTTATATAACGTTAAATAAAACGTAGTATTGCACTGTGCAATGATACCTTTCTTATTGGACTAACAAAATATATAAAAGACAAGCTTTCGAGAGTGAACCTCTCTTCTTCAGGTCAGACGCAATACTGATCAACATGACAGTTTGTCAGTTAAGACAGGAGAAAGCTGTTAGAAGGGGGGGGTGTCATAAATGTTGGACCTGGGAGTAAAAAATAACTGACAAACTGTCATGTTGATCAGTGTTGCTTCTGACCTGAAGAAGAGAGGTTCACTCTCCAAAGCATGTATTTTATATATTTTGTTAGTCCAATAAGAAAAGTATCATTGCACAGTGCAATACTACGTTTGGGGTTGTTTTGACGTCTTGTCTGCTGGACTAATACGGCTTACCCATTTATATTGCACTTTATATATATTTATATATATATATACATAATATATTACTGAATGTTTATACACACACATACCATCTCATCAGAAAGGCCACTCCATAATAAGATAACTTCATTTTTCATATGCAGGAAACTACTTAAAAATAGCTGTTCATCAATTGAGTGAACCTTTACAAGATGGGCTTCAGGGTGAAGAGCTTTACAGTTGTGTTCAGCAATATTCCAAGAGTTTCTATCCATGCTGAGTCTATAGCAACTGCCTTTGAATGCAGACCAGCCCTCAGAACAAAGCCCTGTAAAAATATATAAATACATGGCATAGCTATGAACAGTAGAGGTAAAACAAGCAACACAGTTTCACAGCTCAAGAGTTATCATGGAGGTATACTTTATTCTATCTGAAGCCCTCCTGTCTAGTGATCATACTACAAAATACACTGCAGTTACGACTTACTCTTCTACACTTAGTTGTACAACAACTAGTAAAGTAATGCATTTAAATTTCTCAAATATCATTAGATTATGAGAAGGTGTACATCTATTTCTATATGATTGTATTGATAGCAAATCTACTATTTATGTTTTTAATACTAAGATGATGCAACAAATATTTCAAATAAAAAAGATCATTCAAATTAAAATCATCAGTCAGTCTTAAAAAATGTAATTTAGCAGGAGAAAATTAAATACCTGTTATAACTGTAATGTCAATATTCTGAGTAACGTTAATAAAGCCAAGATAATGTTGTTTCAAAGTAAATATGAAAGTGTAAAGACACCCAGGTATCAAATTGTTCCATTCGTAAAAATCATGTTTCTTCAACATATTTCCAGATGAATTGTTCATCATGATGGAAACAGTAAAGTGACTACTGATTTTGCTCCATGAGAAGGACACAGATGTACTTGTCACAACAATCTTAATATCAGAAAGAGCAAATGTTTCTATGCAAAAAAACAAAACAAAAAAAACTTTAAAAGGCATTGTGATTTCTTGAGTGGTATATTAATAAGACACAAGAATAAAAATGATGAATAAGCACACAACTGGTTAGTGGTCCCTATAAGCTGAGGTATTCGGTGTGCAAGCTCCTACCATCAGGGAGAGAAACCCTGCGAATCAATACATACAAACAAGCAAGTTGTAGGAGCGCTACTAACCTGGGAATGCTGCTGTTTAGTGATGTGAGAAAAAACGGACAATAAGACTTACAGTTAGAAGGCAGCTGATTTATCCGGAGGTGTCCTCGTGTCTAAGTGTCAGAAACCAGGGGAGCAACCTAAATCCAAAGATGGATGGCTTCAGGTGTAGGTAGTGACAGGTTTAGGAGCAGTGTGAAGAAATTTCACAGCCCACGTACTCGGCTGGCCAGGCCGAGCCGCTGCGGCTTAGGAAGGGAGAAGAGCCGTGGACGGCTATCTATACTGTGCTCCGAATTTTCGCAGATGCCGTCTGGCTGGTATAGCGGGGGTGCGACTGGTCAAATAGAGGACACAAAGTCCGGAGTGGTGGAGAGTTTTAGCAAAGGTAAGGGTTCTCAGTGCGGTACCAGCTACGCGTTTCGAGGCACAGCCTCTTTCTCAAGCCACAAAACAAATCGTATTGAGGCACAGCCTCTTTCTCAAGCCCCGAAACGAATCGTTAGTAGCATATTAATAAGACACATACCTATAGAGAAGTTTTACTTTATTTATCAAATCATTACTCAGAAACAATGATATGCATATATGCAAGGTCAACTCAATATAAAACGTCATGTAGTTGCTGGTAAGTTGAACCATGTGCTTCATAAATGTTATAATATTACATCCAGTTCCACCCAACTGCAACAACTATTTCTAAGTAATGGAAACTTCACAATGCAGAGTAAATAAATCTGATTACTGACATTTCACAGATGTTAGAAGCCAGTGCCTACCAAAAATAAAAAGTAATACCTCAGTAGAACTTTTGACCAACATAGGACAGATTGTCATTTTATTTATGCAGCAAAACTGGTTGTCCTACACAAATTGAGAAATGTAAATCAGTAAAGTATGAAGATCCAATGAAAAGTGTGGAATTCAAATCACATGTAAATTGGTTTTACAAAAGTCGCATACCATGCAACTTTTTTTTTTTACAAACTACTCATTTTGTTCATTTAGTGTTTGATCATATCTAAAATTAAGTGAACTTCCTTTTGATCATTTTTTTCAGGTTGAATTTAGAAATATGTATATGCTTTATGTTATAGCCCAAGTCCATGCTTTGTCCCTGTCACACAAACTTCCCATGAGGACTATAACTAGCGTCTTCAACACACATTATTACACAGTCATGGTCCACTGTTATCAACATCAGGAAACCCATCCCAAGAAATGATGTGCAAAAGTTACTGGATCACTTCCATGTGGACAAGAAGTGGTGGCAAAAAGACTGCAGTAGATAAGTAGCATTAATGAATTGAAAAATATTGAAAAAAATATTTTTACAAATTACAGTTTTGTTATGCTACATAGTGCTCTAGCAAACTGAATATCCTTCAGTTAGCCTTTACATCTTCTCCAACATTTTTTTTTTTTTTAAATAAACCAGAAAATACTGTAATTTAGTGAACAAACCTATATGCAGCAACAACAACTTCAAGCCATTGTTTTTCCTTTGCCCTCTTACATTGCTTGCTCAGTGTAAAAATATTGCACAAACTCTTTTTCCACCTCTATCTAATATGACGTAACCATTCTCCAGTACAAGAATTGCCTAGAGCATGTAAAGTATAATAAACCAAGATAACATTATCTATTAGTTATGACATCTGTCAGTGTGTGTATACCTACTTGTTAAAAATGATCTAACACTTAAAGTATTGCCATCTTTCATGGATTTAATGGTGACATTATATGTGTGCTTCTCTTCAAGGTTATTTAATGAAGTATAAGTATTATAAACTTGTTGAACAGCAGATGCCTGCAGTATGATCTACAAAAAATAACAGAAATAGAATAACTGTGTATGTTTAACAGACAAGTAGTTAGTAGAATATAGACTCCATATATACTTTTAAATAAAATTCTGTATATTATATGAATATTGCTTTACCAAAATGTGTAATATTTAGGATAACAAAATATAGCTGTAAAGACCACCCTAAATTCATCTTAAAAAACTACATCCATTTTCAGCACAAAATACCTGGTTGATTCTGCCAGTCCCCTTCTCTTCCTGTATCATTCTGAGCACGCTAAGCAGAGAAGTAAATCAATGTTGGTGGTCAGTTTGTATCCTATAGCTTCTCACCTGAGCTACAGAATGCCATGACTGTGCATGGATTGCATGTGGCTCTGTGATCAGCTTGGCTAACACTCCCCCTGCCCTGTCCACCTTGTCTTGATTGACAGTCTGCCCTCTAACAAGTTACAGTTACAGGCATGCCATGCATCAGCTTACCCATCTCCCTGCCCAACCCACCTTACTTTGACAACCTGCCATCTAGCAAAAGTGTCAGTCTGGCCTGATGAATGTACATGAAAACTTCAGACATTTTTTTTTAGAGACCTTGTCTTTGTACCTGTCCTTGCATCTGATGGCCATGCAGCTGGCCATACATATACAGATTGAGTCCTCCACCCAAATTCATCCTTGAGATTAATGTTAGGCTAAGATCATATAGACAATTTTATGAACTCAGCTTTTATTAAAATGTATGTAAAAGCAAAACTTTTGTTTTGGATAGAATGCGGAAGTGTTAGAACTCTATTAGTCCTGGTAGCCATTGTCTCCTGTGCAAAAAATTGTCATGCAAAGGGGAGATGAGCAGAAGTCATTCAATGTGTATACCTGTTTTGGCTTCAACTGTCAAAGAGGGGCATTTCCTTGATTTGGAGAAATCCCCTCTTGCTTCCTGCTGTGTATCTGGGACAGGGAGTGAAGGTATTTCTACCTGATGTGACATAGACATTAAAAAACAGGGGTCTTAACCATCCTCTACTCTATCCAAACTACCAAAAAAAGTTTTGGTTTTATATACACTTTAATTTGCTGTCAGCTCCATAATCCTGTTGTGTGTTTCCCCCTTGCTGTGCTGAAGCAGTGTGCCTCATTCTGAATGGGGATTGTTTTACCTATCATTTAAGAGCAGATGAGTCTAAACAACTTCCCTTCCAAAAATGCTGCATATATACTTTGCAGGATTATATTTTCCATTACACCCTTTCATTCACCAAGTAAAAATAAGGTGGAAAGTTATCTGCTGATTTTTCACAAATGAGGCCTAATAAAGCCTGTTGGGAAACGGTCCAATCATTTAGATTTTCCTTTCTTTCAAAAATGAACAGGCACCTGAAATGCCAAGACATTCTTTTGCTTTTAAGTGCTAGTGTTAACAACAACCTGACACACTAATGATAATAATTTCCCAGCATCTTGCATGCTTTCAGCAACCAACACTATCAAGCAAATGACTCCTTATGATATAAGCAATGCAGTACCATTTAGCAGAAATTAATCACATATAATTGCACAATGTTGCAGTTGCTGATACAGTACATGTTACTCTGCATTTTACACAATATGGAGCTATTTGTTCAATGAGTTAGTAATTGGTTCTGGGAGCACAACTGGACTACTAAAAATCATTTTGCAAAATAGACCTTAGATAGTGTTGGCCTGTGTAAACCTAGAATGTCACAAAATATGCAAAATCTGTATTAACAAATCATATTAATATTCATGCAGAGCATCCTGCACAGTTCAGGAAAAGGGACATAATGCAGCAAAACCTACACTCACACCTCTGCCACTCACTTACCTGCTTATTGATAGGATGATACATAAAAAAATAGTTATCAGGATTGAAACCTTCAGGAAAAGCAGACCACTCTGCCATAAGGGCAACCGTTCCAATATCTCTTTCACCACACTCCATATTACGTACAATCTAGAAGAGAAAATGCAAGCTCCAGCTCAGACGAGTATGGTTCAATATATAATGGCAATTTAAGTGTTTCACTTGTGCCTGCTCTTCACTCTGCTTCCAGTGGCTAATTCACCTTGTTGAACAGTTGTAAACTGCAGCAAGCTGCCATTCCTTAAACTCTATAGAGACTGAAAAAAATGACAATGTGCAGCATGCACGTTTGAGATAGCTACACACAGTAAAATTGTATCGCACTTCTTCTTACAGCTAGCTATATTCATTACAATCATATTGCATAGCCCTTGCATAATCTCATTGAGAGTTACCAAAACTATGTAATGCAGGTGGCCTTTCTTAATCCATTCAGTGTGTATCCTAACAGGCAAGCTCTTTCACTACATAACTGTTAGTAAACTTAAAGTGAACATGTACAGAGACTAAAGCTTTGACATATTGGGAACAAGTAGTAAAATCACTTTAAAAAAGCTCTTAATCACCTCTCTAGCTATGGGCACTGTGGAAAATTAGTCTTCAAAGTTCACAACAGGGCACTAAAACTTTAGCTCTTTTCCTATTACCTGTTATTGCAGCAGACTCTTGGCAGCCTGCCAGCTTTCTAATGTAAACACACAGTAGGTATTCCTATTCTTGTTGTAAACTTGTTGTTCTAAACTGACTGAACACCTTGTTGTGTTTTTTGAATATCTTTAAGATTAAATCACTTCATAGTACAAGCAACTAGAAAGTTTGAGGTGGCTTGATTTAAACTGTCCACGTATAATATGTCAATATTTTGTCCATAGACAAAAGTATAGACCCCCAAATGCAAAGGATTTTAAGCAATTGCATGAAAATCTGACTATATGCAATATTAGTTTCCCTGTTCTATTTTTTTTTTTTTAATTCTTATTTTGTATTAGGATCCAGTGAAAAAAATCCACATGACTAAAAAAAAAGTTTAAAAAGTAGCACAACAAATGAATCTAATGTTTCACTTGTTTAGAACAAAATGAGGGGTTGAGGCTGATTGTTTCTTGTTTAGTAGCTGAAGGTATTTTTTGATTCAGTAAATAAATAAGGCAGCTAATTTGGTCGTTCACCTACAGCATTGCTATTCTTAAATGGTTAAATGCCAAAAGTTCCCATCTGATATCAGTCTAGTATTTGCTGATGGAAGCTGACAGGCACGAGCTGAAGAGGCTGGAGTAGGTGAGAACTGGAGGGAGACTCTATCCACATGCATTTGCGCAGCTTAGTTATACCAACAGAGCAAGAGTATAAAATGCAACAGTGATCATTAATATTCATTGCACATGAAAATAAATGGTTAATAATATTACACATTTCATAAAATCAAGATAAATCAATACATAACTTGCAGTATACATTTTCTGTGCTACATAGTCGGATTGTTCACTTCAGTATTACTGATACATATTACCAATGCTTGCATGCTAGCTTGATCAAAAAAAATTATACAGAAATGATCAAGCTGTTATAACCAGATTCTCCTGGAGGAGGGCAGGACCCCCTACATTAAAGTGATTTTTTTAGATCATAAAAGAATGCAACACAACAGTGATGAAGTGTAGATGCAGACTTAAAGTGACACTAAACTCAGGAGTTAAATTACCATAACTATTAACAAAAATGTATCTTATTTTATTTGTGTATCACTCAGCTGTAGATCCTCAAATTATCTCTGAATTGGGGCTGGCACTTTCATTGCTTCTGGAAGGTGAACACTTTTGTTCCCCATGGTCCCTGTGTGTGTTGTAAAGTAGCCACCACTTCAAGTTCACTCTTGAGATGAACTACAATCTCAGGTTAAATTTACTAATTTGTATTGACGTTATAGCCTATCAAGGGAGGGAGCTTGGAGAGGTGGCTACTTTACAATACACACACGGGGACCATGGGGAACAAAAGTAGCCACCCTCCAGAAGGAAGGACAGTGTCCGCACCAATTCAGAGTTGAACTGAGGATCCACACCGAGTGATACACAAATAAAAAAACATTTAATAGGGTACATGAATGCATTTTTTATGATTTAACTTCTGAGTTTAGTGTCACTTTTAGTCTGTATCACACCACCAAAATGCCTTGTATTTCCATACATGGTGAAATACAGGCAAATAAAATGCATTGGTTTTACTAGAACTTTCTCACACCAATGTAGAGCTCTGTAGTGTATTGGGAAAAATACATACTTGGATCACTGACCTTAATTTTGCCTTTCAAGCCAGTTAAGATGAAAATGCAAAGCACAGGGTTTCACCTGGAAAGGACTTGAGGGTAAATCTTCTAAATGGGGACACTAACAACCCCACCAAAAAATTGGTTCAAACCATTCACCAAAAAGTTGTGTCTAAAGATAGGCTTTACTCAACATTTGCTTTAAAACGTTATTCAAATGATTGCTGGTTTTCCAAGACTTATTTCCATACCTGGAAAATACTTTTAAAGATGAGAAGATGAAGAGTTAAGCTGTCCATTGAAATACGGCTGGGATGCTTCATTTGCCAGACGTTTCCTAGCATGCCAACAAAATTTTAGCAGCATTGTTAAAAAAGGGATATATGAATGTAAGGAAAAACACTGCAAAATATTATATAAATGTAGCCTTATTGTAGTCCACCCCCCTCCAAAAATCCCTATTCAATAGACAGCAAAGTGATAGGGATAAGACTCAACAGACTGGACTCCTATTTTGGTTATGTTATGCCTTTGTATTGAATTATTCTGACAATTGGTGCAAGCAACACTCTCTGACAGAGAACAGGTCTCCCTAACTGTGGCCATACACACAACAATATCAAATCTATGTTTTCTCAATGATTTATCCTTTCATATGTGGCCAATCTAGCAACGTTGTTTTCTGTCAGAAGTTGCTTTTTCTTACCTGATCAGGTTGGAGCTTTTATATTTAAAACTTTTGTTTTAGAAAGGTGTGTTTTTGTTTCATCATCATTCTTTGTATATGTAAGATACACATTTTAGATTGAGGGCCCTCCTTACCATCTTGTCTTAAATTGTATTGTGATTGTAATGTCCTCCTTATACAGTATTGTAAAGCGCTGCGCAAACTGTTGGCGCTATATTAATCCTGTATAATAATAATAATAATGTGTTTTTGCTTTTTTTTCTGGTGCACTTGATTGTGATTTGTATACTGTTGCTTTCAATTTTATATCTTACTTTTTTTCACTGTCTATTTTTTGTTTCTACAAAGAAATGTTAAAGAATGAGGTTAATAAAACACTGTTTTTTTGCACAAGAGCATGTCCAGGAGGTTCCATAACATGCAGAAGCCATTTAAAGACGATTGCACTCTTAACTACCAGAAAAAGCACATTGATTTAATCAAATGGTAAATGTTGCCAAAATCTCCCAGTTTTGAATAAAATTTTGGTGACATTTTCATTTTTGCTCATCCCCATGTCTTAGTATGGTGCCAAGCCTTGCAAAGAATTCCAACTCAAAAGGAGATGACATCAGAACCATGTGACTCTGCATGATGACAATTTTGGCAAAAAAAAACATAAATCTCTGCACTAACATGCAAACCAATTAAAAGCAGAACGCCAGGCACACTAGAGGACAAAATATAATAATGCCACTTGTTATTATCAATTGTGTATTGTGCAGTTTTGTATCTTTCAAGACTCAAATGACATGATAATATAAAAATAATGAACAGCCACACACATCTTCTGCACCATCATGCTAGAATTCTCATTTGCAGCTATTTAGGGAATTAGCCAATAAAACAGCCTTATAGCTATTATGCCAGCGACAGATCCTGCAATACACGTTGTGCAGACTTAAATCTTATAGGACGCCATAAGAACATAAGATCGCTTATCTAAAATAAAGGCAGTTGCTCTCTAACATTTTATGTTAAGGAGGGTTGGAGCCTAAAACCAGAATCATATTGAAATCACTGAAGTAACCAGCATCAACATAAAAGATACTGTTTGGAATGGACTGCCCTGTCAAGCATGCATAATATGTACTGAAAGGTCAAAGCATCATTGAACATGTACCTAATTTGGCTAAATGCATGTGAGACTAATATATGTTGTGTAATAAATACTGAATAGTGTTTATTAGTTAAAAAGTATATTTTCAATAAATGCCACTTCCCTCTCTGTCCAAGATTAGGTCTGTTGATATTGAATTGAGCAAGGCAGACATTAATAAAATACAAACAACAGAACTATACTGGGTATCAGTACAAGTAACTCACCTTCTCTTTGTCCAGTCTAGGGCATCCAGTATTCTCTGGGTGGCAGTTTAGATTGAAGCTAGTGTCTGCTTTATTCACCATCTGCACATGTCACTGCTTGCTTTCACTTACACAAAGTAAGTTGTGTTTATCTTAGTCTAACTCAATGTTGTTTTTCCCTCACTTTTGATAATTTCCTGTCCACAGTCCGCTCTCTCTTTTCTCCTCAATTTGTTCTGACCATTCTTGTCCTTTCCTTTTGTTAAATGAGGGGAGGTCTCCATGGTGACAATCAGGCCGCAGCCTCACTTAAACGCCTGTCAGTCTAGGAGTGGGAGTCACACTATACAAGTAGTTTGAAAAGCAAAGCCAAAAAGCAATTAAGCTTACAAAATATTGTTCCAGAAGACATTCGCTCTCTTTAAAAACACAGCAGTAATTTAACATATCAGATGTTCATCATAATTTGTTCCTGTCTTGAAAACGTTTAGAAATATAGAAAAGCTCATTCAAATTTGTTGTTGTACAAGTTACACCCAAAATGATAGAGAAAGAATATAAGGAATAATATACTTCTTGAAGGTCTTGGAGTCTTGTACATGTAAGAGAAGAGGTCAGTGGTCTATATGGATCATAGTACAGTTGGGGAACTTTATATTGGATAATAAATCATTTATTTTGTTAATTTCAATACACAAGGTTTAGTTATACAAAAGGTTATCTTTCTTCATAATGTGTCTATTATATCCAAATGCAGTTACCTTGTAGTTAAGGAGAACTGAAGGTAAAACTTTCTGCCATCTGTGTCCCATTGGGGAGCTCTCCCTTAACATCCTGTCCAATAGCCACAACAGGAAGTGAAAGGAAATCCCACTAAATAGAGGAAAATCCTTGGTAGTCAGCAGGATCACCAGAACTAGTGTCCCCATTGGAATCACTCCTACAACCCTCTCCATGCTTACTTTCCTGCTCCCTTAATTTAATATATTCTAAAAGACGTTCTGATACACTTCTCTTTTCTTTAGGAAATAGTGCTTTGGGTTCTCTCCAATGTTGGTGATGCAATCCATTTCCAGAACACTGGTCACATGATCTTTAAAGAAGGGATTTTGGAGAGTGGCATTAAAGGGGTTCTAAAGCCTCCCATATTTTGCCTATATCTACTCCTTTAACGTCACTTTAAGGTAGATCAGGGAATTCAGAAAGTTCTAGTTCTAGGAAAAGAGAACTTGTTCTCTCCTCCAAAAACATATGCTTTTCATCCTTTGTGTCTTATTTCATTTTCTTAATCATAACTGGATGTCTGTGGAGGAGACATGCATATGCAGTGCACAGCCATGAGAACAATGGCTTCCTATGTACCAGCATTAAATATGATTTATGACCATGTATATAGCATATGCGCATCTTTTTTACATTTAGTTAAATCCATATTCTGCCACATAGAAATCAGAAAAATAGCGTTATCCTTTCAGGGCAAACTATTGAATACAGTAATAAATATTTCAGAACCAGTTAGGAATGGGCATTTGTAAGAATCAGAATCTCCTCTCTTGACTTGTTACTATTGTAATGTCTGACCTCTCAGGGATAGGTTTGTGTACTGTTATTCACAAATTCTGGGACAGTCATGTATTTCCTAATATCGCAGCATGTGAATGTGTGCAAATAATTTGCAGTTTCCTTTCCACTTTTTGCCTCTTAAGGTTTGCAAGTGCTGCGACTGTTCCTGTTTTGTGAATGTCTGCGACCACTCTTTGAATGTCCTCTCAGTTTTGTACATTTGTCACATGTTATGAACTAGATTGCAGCCGAAATAACACAGTAATTTGTTGTGCAATTGACGTGGACCACTTTGCAAACTGGCACAATTATCTGAATATTACTGTTTAATTGCATTTTCTGAGAGCTATTTTTTGCAAATTATTGGCAAGTCTGTCCCTCGTTTGCACAATTCAACAAAACAATCAATTTGACGGATCAAATGTATTCCATGAAATGCAACATTGTGATACATCTGTTGCATTTCTAGAACAGATTAACAAACTGTGAAACATAAATGGATGCAATGGATGCAACTTTATTAACACATCTCCCCTATTATTATTTTTTCTGTCAGGGTAGTAGTAACAACTCTAAATGTGGCTTTAAGCCTTCTATTGAGGGTGACATGTCTCCTGCCTAAATTCATGGCTGATAACTGACACACTCAGGATGCTGCTAAAGGAGAGTAAAGCTGTCAGATAACAAAGAGTTTAGTTTTCTTTCATATGATCTTGACAACCTCTTTATTATTTCACAGTTTTGAGCATCAGGCACTAACTAGGACAGCTGTACAGGCTGACACTTTCTATTCTATTCTATTTCTATTCTTACGAGGAAAGAATATAAGTAAATCATACTTAACTTAATATTCTCTATGAGGTAAAGCTGCACTAATAAAACAATGTATGAGTGGAGATTTAGATTACTGAAATTGTCTATTGACTAATTCTTTTTAAGGTGAATAGATATTTATTTACCTGCCTGCATATGAAAGATTTCATAATCTTTTGGGCCTGAGGCAGTAAAAGAAGTATGACTCAGACAATATACTGCTTCTGTAAGATGCAACATAGTATGCATTGAACTAATTGCAGTTCCAATAAATAATTAATCCTTTCCCACATTCAGTCCATTGAATAAAAGAACTTGCTATCAGCTGCCGTAAAGGGATCTGTGCTGCAATAGCCCACAGTTTAAAAAAAGAAAAAACTAATATACACATTTACTAGTAATTATGTTTCTAATGTGAGTTCTCCTTTATATTGACCATATATCCAAAAATGGGTATTAGAAAACAAAGTGACCATTTAATTATTTTTTTGAATGTTTTTGACCCAACAATAATGGGTTTATTATGCAGATAATGTTGGAAAATCACATTGACCAAAGCTGACTTTGTCCCAGAGACATTGTGGCTGATTTACGTAAGGATTTGATAATGTTTATGCAATAAAATGTGTGGAGATATATCTTCTTGTCTACTATTAACTTGTTGCCGATTTAGAAATTCAGCACATTTCTTGGACAGATCATAGCAAACTTTTCCTTACCCTGACATCTATTCTTACTCAGAACAGAGACACCACTTGAGTGTTAAATGAATCCTTGCTGACAAACACTGTGTTCTGCTCCACTATACCACAAGCGTTCTCAAACTATAAGTATGTCTATATATATCCAAGGAATATGCATTCGATTGGCAACCCAAGCTAACAAACAAAAACTGCTCTGCTTGAAACATTGGAGCATATCTTCCAGACTTGTGTGACAACTTCCCAATCTGTTCCAACCTCAGCTAATAGATTAGCCCTTGACAAAGCCAGGCTGGTATTAGAAGCTGTGCTTACAGAGACTGCAGACAAGCAGCTCCGAAGTGTCCAGCACAGATTTAATACCCCTGTTTCCCCGAAAATAAGACCTAGTACTATTTTTGGGAATTGCTAAAATATAAGACCTACCCCGAAAATAAGACCTAGTTGTGACCATTCCCAGGGCCGATGGTGGCATAAGGGGGAACTTGAAGAGTCACGGGAGAGGCAGGAGAGAATCAGCGGTGCCAACGAAGCCATCGCTAGAGGAAGCAAGGCGGCACCAAATGGAGCAGAGCCGCATAAGCCCATGCCTCCTCTATAGCGCCGGCTCCTGTCACAGGTGGAGTGATACCAAATGCACTCCGCCTGTGAGGAATCGATAGTGAAAGTGCGCTTTGCTCATTCTGGCCAGCGATTGGTTAGCAAATTGCTCTTGGAAAGGTATAGCACCCCTGATTGCCCTGATCACCATATTTTTGTACATGAATATGTGTGGATTGTTGTACATAAAAAAAAAAAAATAAGACCTAGTGCGTTTTTATGAGCCAAAAAAAGTATAAGACAGTGGGGTTGATTTACTAACCTTATAAACACACCACGAACATGTATACACCTCTGTAGTGTGTTCCCTCCCAGCATGATCTATGGGTGGAATCTGAACACCTTTGTAGTGTGTACACACCCAGCAGGTGTGTTGTGCAAAGCCCTGCATGAATTTGCAAGGTGATCTTGTGTAAATTAGCTCTATGTTGTGTTGCTTGCGTTGATGAATGCAGGAATGTAAATGCATGAGCTAACCATTTTTGTCTAAACTGTGAAGCAGCATTATATATGCATCATGTGCATGATTTTTCCATATATGGCATTAGTGGAAATATGCTTTTAGAGACTTTTTGGTTGATAAATACATTTTGCTGTGTAAAAATCACACGCACCTAGTGCGTGCGTGTGTTTAGGTTAGTAAATCACCCCCAGTGTCTTATTCGCGGGGAAACACGGTAGTAAGGTAATAAAGTGCATACCCTTCTGGCTCGTAGGCTCAAAACCATTGAGCCAGAGTATAAACCTATTAGACTGAAAATAGATAAGCTGGGCTACATGAGTAATCCAGTTAAAATACTCCAGGAATTCAAACTGCACCTATCACAATTATATTCCCCAAAGGGTACTTTTTCCCAGAACAAGCTGCTGAGGTGCTTGCTGGCATTTCCCTTCTAACCCTGTCTGAGGACACTAGGGCAGTCTTAGAGCTGTCTATTACCACTGAGGCAGGGATGAACCTAAGCTGCCCTAAATAAAAATTGCCCAAGTTTCTAAGGTATTCCCAGTGCAGGAACCCAACACAAACTCAGCTTGTGTTGACGTTATTCTGTCTCTCACCAACCAAGTCTCCTCCTTACCGAAAGTCCCTT